GATCTGAATCGTGAGAATTACGTCCACGCATTTTTCAGTATTACTATTGCACGCGGGAAAGCGGTATATAATTCAGGAACGACTTAATCTACCACGTCGTTAAGCTTTTATTTCTCTTTCTTTCCATGCATCCTTCTTCCGTCATTAATCTTTCAGATCCATTCGCTCTCTTTCTGCTGAATACAATGTCACGTCCGTTCCCTCCCCCCCTCTCTCTCTCTCTCGCTCTCTCGCACAATATGTTTGTAAAATATGAAATTTAAGCACAGAGATCGGCAGCGATCGCACGCACCGATGCATGCACCGAGCATGCATAAACCTCACAATTAATTCGATACGAGCCGAATTTCCGTTTCCGCAAAACTCGGCCGGCCGGCAATTGTTGCGGCCGCGACACCACGTCGAAAATTGCCGTTGAATTATGGAGCGATTAATATCGACACGTAACGCGGCTCATAATGCGGAAGTCCTTGCTCCCCTCCTGCCAGCGAAGATTCCGCGGGGCATCCGTCCTCGCCGCAAGGCAAGGCGGATTCGACCACAATAGCGCCGCTACGTTCTCCTTCGAGAATTTGCGGTCGCGCGCAAACGCGTAATTAGTTTAAACCGAGTAACGTGGTAATTAAGCCGGTTTAACTCCTTTATCACAGGGTGAAGCGGACGCCACTGTCTACGTTAGCCTCGTATCTCGGTTGTCCCTGCGGCTTCCCCGGTTTATCCGCCCCGTCGTGTCACGCATCTTGACTTACAAGCGAGAGGCCTCGTTCGAAAGAACCGTCGCTAATTCTACGTGCGAGCGTCCAAGCGAGCAGTTTTTCTCGTTTTCGTGCCAGGACGCGGGCGAACTAACGAGCGTGTTAGTTCGTCAACGACGGACGTAAGGCTGCGTTCGTAAACATCACCCCGAGTGCCCCAGTGTGCTATTTTAGCCTTGTTACACCTAGAAAAAAGTTTTAAATCAAGCAAATTTCTTTGAATTTTCACCTTACTAGACTCTTATCCAATTTTAAAGAAATGATTTCTTTACCTTAACCAAAATTTTATTGGATCGAGACTGAAATGTCTAAGAGAATTCATTTCTTCAAATCAAGCAAATGCGATGCCCCAGTGGGCATCCTGCACCGTGTTTTAAGACTGAAGACTTAAGGGGATCATAAAGCTGCTGGCGAACTCGATCAGTGTCGATGAGATAGGAGACGGAATTAAAAACGTCAATTATCGACATTTTTAATTCTAAGTTCATGATGCTAA